GGGTCTGGAAAGCTCCCTCGGACCCTTGCAACGCTACCCCCACAGCCCACGGGGCCAGCGTGGGCGAAATCGCCGCCTTCTGGGGCTCTTTTGAAGCTTCCCAAGCCTTAAAAGAGCCCCAGAAGGTGGCAATTTTGCCCCCTCTGACCCCCGGGGGGCAGGGTGAGTCTCTAAAGGGTCCTGGAACACACTCTAGGACCCTTTGGAGGCTCACCCTGTCCCCCCACCAGGCTAGAGGGGGCGAAATTGCCACCTTCTGGGGGCTCTTCTGAAGCTTTCCAAGCCTCAAAAGAGCCCCAGAAGGTGGTGATTTTGCCCCCTCTGGCCTTCGGGGGGGGCTGGGTGAGCCTCCAAAAGGTCCTAGGTTGCGTTCCATAAGACGGACGTCTCCATAAGGCTCACCAATTTTTAGGAGAAGAAAACAGATTTTTTCCTGTTTTCTTCTCCTAAAAATTTGGTGCGTCTTATGGAGAGGTGCGTCTTATGGAGTGAAAAATACGGTAATTATTTACCAAAAATAAAAGGGGGATATATTTTTAAAATAAAGGCTCCAGGAAATATGCTAGCCAATATCCAATTGATTGTCCCAATTAAAATAAATGTTTGTTCAGTCATTCAATTTGTATCTCACTCCAGTTAGTGCCAGGTACTACTCTGGATGGATTACAACAGTGATTCCCAAAGTTTTTCCATCTGCAGACTGGCTGATAACGGTGGGGCACCCCCTGCGGACCGGCTGGTGAAGGCAGGGCACCCCCCGCGCTCGGGCGCATGCGCAAACAGCAGCGCAGCATGGCGCTTGTGCAATTTAAGAGTGTGCAAGCCATGCAAGAAGCCCAGCGCAACCCTCACCTGCCAGAGCTTCCCATGCAGGCGATCCGAGCCAAGCAGCCTTTCTGCTGGCTGTCCCCTTGCCCTGCAGCATTTTTCACAAAAGGAGACGGGCTGCCTCTGGCCCCACCACAGGACGCGGAAAGGGGGCTCCGCCTCTCCCACCCAGCAGGGAGGCTTGCACAGTGTGCGTGCGCGCTCTCCCACTGAGCGGTCCATCTCCCCCCCATCCCTTTGCCCCTCGCACACAGACACACACATACACTCCTCCCGATCCCCTCAGCGACCCTGCTCTTGCTGATGGCAGCGGCGCTGGCGTGGAGCTGCTGGCCAGGGAGGGCGGAGGGAGGGAGGGGAACAGAGAGGAGGGAAGGCGAGAGAAGAGCGGCGGCGGCAAGAGGTGGCTCAGGACAAGTGCACAACTGCTGCTGCAGCCCGGAGCCTAAATATACATGCAAGCCAGCAGCAGTCATCCCCCACTCCACCCACCAGGAAGCACCTTCTCCCTGAACCAAAAGCACATGAGCAACAGCAGCAAAGACTGGAGAGGAGAGGGGAAGGGTATCATGCCACATTGTTTCCTCCATCAGGCTGCTCCTTCCCCTGCCGCGACACTTTCTTCCCCCTCCCCGCACGGGGCACTATATCAAAAGGGGCTTGCTTTATCCCAGGATGAGGCAAACCAACCCACCTGCCCCCAAAACATTTAATGCATGGGGGGAGGAGGGAAAACAACCCCCTGAAAGGGGCAAGGGTAAGAGGTCTTCACCTGCACCCTCCTCCTTGCCAAGCCAGCAGAGCTTACCCGTCTATTTCCTCTGGCAGTGGGGCTGGGTCGGAGCAGGGAAAGGAAGGAAAGCAGAGTGGTGCTGCTGGCAATGGTGGTGGGTTTTTGTTTGCTTGTTTGCCTGCTTTTGGCGGGAATCCCGGTGCCCCACAGGAGGGGAGGAGAGAAACAGACTCATTCTCTTTGGTCCTGTCTGTGCTCTCATGGCTTGTTCACCCAACCCCAGGTTAGGGCTCCAGCAGTAGCTGAAAGTAGCCCCTTCCCTGCCTGTTTTTTCTCGCCTCTCCTCCCCTCCCGGGGGGGGACCCAGATTCCCACCGGGTAGCCGCCTCCATGCAGCAGCCCTTAGCTCTTCCCCCCCCCCGGGCTGGCAAGAAGGGTGGGGCAGTGAGCCCTCCTGGTTAGCAGCATTGCCTTCTTGGGAAACTTCTGGACAGTGGGGGGGGAGCCAAGGGCTGCTGGGTGGGGACGGCTAAGGGCTCGTACCTGGCGGGAGTCTGGATGCCTCAAGGGAGGGGAGGAGAGCAACAGGCAGGCCAAGACGAGCCAAGAAAGGGAAAAGGAAGTGGGGCTCAGGCAGCAGGGGATGCTTTCCCTGCTGGAGAAGGAGGAGGCAAGGGCTGCCGTGAGCGACGGAGCCGCCGCTGCAAGGGTGGGAGTGAGGCTCTGATGGGAGGCCCCGGAAGGTGAGCCACACTAGGGGGATGCGGCGGCAGCGGCCATGGGGAAGCCGCCCTCCTGGAGCCTCGGAAGTGGACGAGCAGCAGCACTCCGTGCGGCCCGGCCTGGCCCACCTTTCCCGCCTGGGAAGAGTCAGCCGGGTAGGTGCGCGCATGCTCCACCCCCCTGCCGCTCACCCTGGGTGGGGCGGCCCCAAGCCTGGTGGCTGGCCGTTGGCACTTCCCAGGCAGCCTGCCGCGCAGCGACTTCCCCATAGGGAAGGGTCGCTGCAGGAACAGTTAGGAGCGCGACACACACCCCCTCCCTGGGGTGGCGGGGGGCAGAGAATTGTGTCCACGGCCCGGTTCCGGCAAGCCCATGGACCAGCGCCGGACCGTGGGTTGGGGACCCCTGGGTTACAAGACATGTAATAGAAAACAAAAATAAAAATAGAAATATTAAAAGCAGCAACAATAACCCTAAAAAGCAGATGGCACCAAATAATCAGAGCTGATGGAGGAAGGGGGGAAGGAGGGGGGAAGGAGGTCCTACCTTGGGGTGGCCAGCTGGAAGACCCTTGACGGGGGTGATCTTGTGGGTCAGGCAGATGTCATTAAGGAAAAACAGTCCAACATGGGCCCAAACTATGGAAGGCTTTGTATGTGACTGTCAGAACCTTGAACCTGATCTGAAACACCATGGGCAACCAGCGGAGGTAAGCCAGAACTGATGTGGTCAAATTTGTCTGCACCCACCACCAGTCTGGCAGCCGTATTCTGGACTTACTGAAGTCTCCGGATCAGGCTCAAGGGAAGACCCACATAGAGAACATTGCAATAGACAATCCAGGAGTTGACGAGGGCCTACACCAAAGTCCTGAGGGTGTCCTCATCTAGACAGGGGTGAAGTTGGGCAATTAGCCTAAGCTGGTTAAAGGCTGATCTGTACATGGCTGCAATATGGGACTCCCAAAAAAGAGCCAGGTCCAGAAGAACACCCAAATTACACACTTGGTCCCTAAATTGGAGGGAATACCATCCAGCCTAGGGACCATCCCCCTTAACCTAGGTTTCCTCCCCCGGAGCAAAATCTCAGTTTCAGCCTATTAGCCCTGGTCCATCAGGATAAAGGCATAACACAGTGGTTCTTAAGGTAAACTGAAGCTAGATATAAGGTAAACAAATATTACTTAATAAACATACATGAGATATGATATTGCTATCGATATGGTAGAAAATGTGGATACACAAATGGCTAAACAATTCTATAAAGAAAATCTGTATAAAACGCTTTAGATAACATCTATTATGTGTTAGGAACCTGTTCAGTTATTACTGGTATAAAATACAAAGTTCATCAGTTAAATCACCTCAAAATAATATAAATTTGGAACTGGAATTACTTTTACTAAGTATGTTATTAGAGGATTTTGAGAACACTGTATACTATGAGAGCAATATCATGATAGTAGCCAATATTGTATACTAAAATACACATAAGAATGGTTTAAATGTTTAAAAAATGTATAGATTTTGAAGGGACAACTGAGAAGATACCAAGACAGAAAAAAAACAAATAATTATAAGCAACCCATGTAACACAATGTTTAACAAGCATGAATTGAATGTAGACAGATTAAAAAAATTTAAAGAACAAAACTTTTTCCATTGGTACATCCTTTTAACAAGCATGAACTGAATGTAGATAGATTTAAAAAAATTAAAGAACAAAACTTTTTCCATTGATACATCCTTAGAGGCTCTCAGTAATATGATTCTCTTGAAAACCAAGGCCTGTGTTCCCCACAAACCTTGTTTGAATGTTAAAATCCATGATTATTAGTTAATTCTGTGGAAGATGTATTGGAGACTCTGACAAAGACAGCAAGTAGAGCCAGGCAGGGGTTCCATACAGCTCACTCCTACTTTATTCATTTTGAACCTGCTTTTAAAAGATAAGAGACCAATCCAGAAACTTATCAAGTTACAATTACCATGTTTTTACTTGCAGAGTGTGGGTGGCATACAAGTTGAATAAATAAATAAAATAATAGGGTTTACATACCTGAACCACACCACACTTCAGCCAGATGGCATTCAGTCTCACCAGGCTCTTTACACAAATCCACTACATCTTTGCAAGTGGTTTCCGGGGTGACCGGCACCTCGGTGAAGTGCTGTTCATTGTTACTGAGGTACACTGTAAGAAACATCTGGAGAAGATAAAATTATTTTGTTACTATCTGTAATTAAGTTATGAAAATAGGTATTGTCACCTAATGCAGTGGTCCCCAACCTTGGTCCTCCAGATATTTTGGACTTCAATTCCCAGAAATCCTCGCCAGCTGAGGTGGTGGTGAAGGCTTCTGGGAGTTGTAGTCCAAGAACATCTGGAGGGCCAAGTTTGGGGACCACTGATCTAATGGATAAAAACATAAATTCAAGCATATAACAGCAAGGCAGAATAATGATTATCATTTACAGAAGGACCCCCATTCCCTGGGGAATCGGTTCTAAGCCCCTCCTGCAGATGGTGAAAAACACAGATTACAGCAAACACTATTGTAATAGTGAACACGTTACAGTGGGTCTCGACTTACAATACGGCTCCACTTACGAACTTTTCGACCTACAGAATTCTCCGGCCGCAAAGTTTCAGTTCAACTTGCGGCCAGAGAATCGACATATGGACCAGAAAGGGGAGGTGCGGAAAGCGCCAAATTCAAACTTGCCGCTTTCCCCGCACCCCCTCAAGTCTATAGGCTGCAGTCATGCCTCCGGATGCCTTCCAGGGCTTCTCCGCCGCCATAGGAGGCATCTCGGAGGTCCCCCCCCCGCTGCTGATAGTGCCTCCGAAGCCCTTCCCGGTAGGCTGGGTCCACCCTGGGAAAGCCTGCGTCAGCGGGGGCGGGGGACCTCCGAGAGGCCTCCAGCAGCAGCAATGGCAGCAGCAAGGGACCTCCGAGAGGCCTCCAGCAGCGGCTGAGAAGCCCTCGGAGGCCTCGGGCAGCGGCGATGGCAATGGTGGGGGACCCTTGGAAGGCTTCAGAAAGGTAAGTTTCCTTTAAAAAATTTTGGGGGGAGTGTTTTCTTGGGCCAGTTACAGATTAAATGGTTTTCAATGCATTCCTATGGGGAATGCATTTTCGACCTGCAGACTTTTCCACCTACGGACCCCGTTCCACTACAGATTAATTCCGTAGGTCGAGACCCCACTGTACTGTACACAGCATGATCTCTGGCTCCCTCTAGTGGCTACATCTGGTAACTTCATCTTAAGAAATATATATTTCTAGGATTTTCCTTTTAATATTTTTAATATTTTCAGACCATGGATAAATGAATCAGCGGATATTGATCCTGTGGATATGTACAGCCCTACTGTATTATCATGCCTCACTGTTTTGAGATATGTGTGAAAATAACACCCATAAACAATACTATCTCACAAAGTACGTTTCTTACTACTAGAATGGATATACTCCAAAATTGGAGAGAACAGTCCAAAAATTTAATAGTAGTAAAACAACGGTAATGTTTCTTGTTAAAAAAGGTAACATGATCAGAAGTTTGTTGATCTGTTAATATTGCTTACACTCAAATTAACAAAGCTAAGGATCCAAAATTTCCATGTACACCAATACCAAAGCACAGGTGCAGACTGTTTATTATCTTACACGTTATTGTTTCAAAATGTTTTAATTGAAAGTAAGAAGAATCCAACTACATACGCCATACTTATGTCTCTTCAATTATTCTTGAGTTTCACAGCTTTTATTTCAGGGAAATAAGTTTTAATATTTTT